CCAGTGTTCACTTACCCACCTCCTCCTGCATCCAGATTTCCTCCCAGATTTCCTCTCACCTCTTCCCACACTAAATCCCTCATTCCTACCCCAGAGCCTGCAGGACTTTTTCAGGATTCCGGAGATATCCCAGAAAAACTCTGCTGCATCCAGGGATGCGTTTGTTCTTCCAAAATTTGTGAAGTCATTCAGCCGCTCTACTCAGCACTAGTTAGGCCTCAGCTGGAGTACTGTGTCCAGTTCTGGGCGCCACATTTCAAGAAAGATGTGGAGAAATTGGAAAGGGCGCAGAGAAGAGCGACAAGAATGATTAAAGGTTTAGAGAACATGACCTATGAAGCCAGGCTTCATGAACTGGGCTTGTTTAGTTTGGAAAAAAGAAGATTAAGGGGGGACATGATAGCGGTTTTCAAATATCTAAAAGGGTGTCACAAGGAGGAAGGAGAAAATTTGTTCCTCTTGGTTTCTGAGGACAGGACAAGGAGTAATGGGCTTAAAGTGCAGCAAGGGAGGTTTAGATTGGACATTAGGAAAAAAATCCTAACTGTCAGGGTGGTCAAATATTGGAATAAATTGCCAAGGGAGGTGGTGGAATCTCCCTCTCTGGAGATATTTAAGAACAGGTTAGATAGACATCTGTCAGGGATAGTGTAGATAACTGTCAGGGTGGTCAAATATTGGAATAAATTGCCAAGGGAGGTGGTGGAATCTCCCTCTCTGGAGATATTTAAGAACAGGTTAGATAGACATCTGTCAGGGATGGTGTAGACGGAGCTTGGTCCTGCCTTGAGGGCGGGGGGCTGGACTCGATGACCTCTCGAGGTCCCTTCCAGTCCTATGATTCTATGATTCTACATTGACAACATTTTCATCATCTGGACCCTTGAAGAATTTCACAGGGATTATAACAACTTCTACCACACCATCAACCTTAGCCTGGACCAGTCCACGCCATAGATCCACTTACTTAACACTACAGTACAATTACATGACAGACACCTTTCCACCACCTCATACCTACGCTAACCGTATGTCCCAAATTTTCCAGGACAGTCCCGAATTTAAATACTCTGTCCCAGTGCCCCATCAAGTAGTGAAATGTCCCAGAAAGCCCCACTGGACTTTTCACTATTTGATGGGGACACTAGTTTGTGGGGAAAAAGCAACCAAGCAATGGCGCTGTGCCATTGCTTCTTGCACGGCGTAGCAGCCTCCTCCCCTTCCCACCTAGCAGGGCATGTAAGTAACTTCACTGCAGTTTTGCTGATGGGCATCCGGGCTGGCTTCCAGTGGTGTGCGGCCACTCCTTCTCTTCCCTCCCCTCTCTTCCGCCATGGGACTGCCTTTGCTGCGCGGGGTCTTAGTCTGGTGGCACCACCTCCTCCTCTGGGATGCTGCGGAGCACTGGCAGGAGCCACATGGAGCTCAGCTGCGGTGCTGTGCAGCAGGGCACACTTGGGCTTGGCAGGTACTGGGACTGCAGCAGAGGCTGCCTGCGGTGCTATTTTTAGTTCCATGGTCTGGGTCCCTGTGGTCGGCCCCAGCTCTAACTGGAGTCGAGTGGCAGCCACGTGAGGCACGTGTCAGCCAGGTAGCTTCACCAGAATGGGCCTTGTGCAGCTGCTGCTTGACTCCAGCTGGAGCCGGGCAGCCTGAGGGGACTGGGACCAAGGTACTAAAAATAACACCATGGGTGGCCTCTGTTCCAGTCCCAGCATGGGATCTGGCCCCGGGAGCAGCTGGGGCCAGGGCTGTAGGAGCTTCTGGGGCCGAAACCGTGGTACTAAAAACAGTGCTGCGGCCCCCACTCCAGCCCCTGCAAATGATTTTTCACATCCAAGGCAGAAGGTGAGGGAAGGGATAGGTGCAGAACTAAGGGAAAGATGGGGTGAGGAAGGGGCTTGTGCTGAGTAGAGAGAAGGGGGCCAAGGCGGGAGAAAAAAGGGGCAGCAACCAAGGGGCAGTGTGGAGAGAGAGACAAATGTCAGGGGGCCAAGAGGAAACAATGAGAGAATGGGCAGGAGGGGGAGTTGGGAGGGATGGTGTTAGTGGGGGTGATAGAAGAGAGGGGACAGGGTGAGGCTGGGAGAAGGGAGGGACAATGGGGGCAAGAAGAAGAAAGAGGCGAGGGGAGGAGTGGGTGCCAGGAGAAGAGGGGTTGAAAAGAGGGGTGGGCATGAGGAAAGCAAGGGATGGAGCAAGTTATGTGTGAGAGCACAGAGGTCGTGAGGAGAACTGAGGCAGAGGGTGGTGAGGGTGTAACAATATGGTTTTTCTGTAACAATGATGGAAGGCCTGAAGCCATATAGGCAGCCAAAGCTGCCTTCTGCAGCCAGACTGAAGAGCAGCAGCCATTAGCTGTAAAGTCTAGAGTCACATACTCACAGTCCATCTATTTTGTATTAAAATATCACACCAACCTGTAAGAAGGGAATTTTGTCCTGATAGCTCCCCCAGTGTCACCAGATAAAGAAACAGATCTCAAGATGGGTAAAGAAAACTTAAGTCACACCATTCTGTCTGGCAAGAAACTGCTTATCAATAGAGAATGTTGTGGAATTCACACTCTATGGTTAAGTATCCTTACTTTTCTATTGTTCGTCTGGGTGATCTCTGTCTGGTTTGTAACTGTTTCTGTCTGCTATATAACTAATTTTGCTAGGTGTAAATCAATTAAGGTGATGGAGTATGATTGATTAGGTATTTTTGTTATAATTGGTTAGTAAAATTATATTAACATAATTGGTTAAGGTATAGCTAAGCGGGACTCGGGTTTCATTACGTAAACTGGGGTCCAAGAAGGAGACCAGGAAGAAGATTGGAAGTAACAGAAGCAAAAGGCTGGAAAAAGACTAAAGGGAGACAAGGAACACCAGGGAGAAGGGGGAAGACCTGGAAGAAGAATTCATCTCAGAGACACAGCCTAAGACCAGACCGTGACATGCAGCAGCTAAGATCCAGAGAGACTGATCTTGCCTGGCCAACAAGGGAAGTCTGCCTGTATAAGGATTGGTGAGCATGACACCGTGTGCTTAGCATGTGTATTCTGATTGTTTGGGAATTGTCAATAAATAGAGGATAATAATATTACTGTGTGAGGCTCTTTCAGTGGCTAAAGATCCTGCCAACCCGCAGGAAGATGCGCCCTGAGCCCTAGGAATTGGGTAAAGGTGTGTGTCTCTACAGTGTGGAAGGGTTAGAGAAATTTGTGCAGGTAACAAGGGGGTGAGCACCAGGGAGAAAGAGGGCAAGGAGGCAGGGGGCAGTGAGGGAAGGGGGCGGCACCAGGAAGGTTCAGGGGTAAAGGAATGTGCAGGTGCCAGAGGATTCTGGGGGTGAAACAGAAAGGCAGACACGTGGTTGGGAGAGATGGGCACCAGAAGAGAGAGGCAGGGCAGGTGGGTAGAGGAAGGTGTTAGGAGAGGGGATGTGAAGGGGTAGCTACAGATGATCAGAGCAGAGCTAGAGGAGTGGACATGGGGAAGAGAAGGGCTGGTGCAGGGTAGGGAGGCAGGTCCCCAAAGGGCTGAGGGGAGTGAGAAGGGCAGGAGCCAGGACAACAGAGGAGAGTGAGGGGTGGGGGGGCAGAGGCACCAGGGGAGCAGATGAAGGGAGGGTGGGAGACACGGCAGTGGAGGGAAAAGGGAGAAGTTTATAAGATATTTATTAATAACTTGGGTGCCATAGTGGCACACTTCTGAACAAGTGCACATGAACTCACTACTGGTGCACAAGACAAAACTCATTCCATTCATGGGAAGAAAATCTTAGAGGGAACACTTATCCCCTGCCCTCCCTCCTGAGTAAAAGCAATGTAAATTGGGTTAATGCAATTGCAGGATAGTTGCATAGGGGGTTCTCATAGACTTTAAGGTCAGAAGGGACCATTATGATCATCTAGTCTGACCCCCTGCACAATGCAGGCCACAGAATCTCACCCACCCACTCCTGGAATAATCCTCTCACCTATATCTCAGATATTGAAGTCCTCAAATAATGATTTAAAGACCCCAAGATGCAGAGAATCCTCCAGCAAGTGTTCCATGCCCCATGCTACAGAGGAAGGTGAAAAACCTCCAGGGCCTCTGCCAATCTATCCTGGAGGAAAATTCCTTCCTGACCCCAAATATGGCGATCAGCTGAACCCTGAGCATGTGGGCAAGTTTCACCAGCCAGACACCCAGGAAAAAGTTCTCTGTAGTAATTCCTATCATCCCACCATTGGCCTATTTACCGCTGATAGTGAAAGGTCAATTAATTGCCAAGATCATGTTATCCCATCAAACCATCCCCTTCATAAACCCATCTAGCTTAATCTTGAAGCCAGATAGGTCTTTGGGGTTCTATGGGGGCCAAACCCATCCCTATTGGTAGGAGGACAGTGAGAGGAGTTCTTAGAGGGTTCACATGACACCCTTTACTTCTTGTGTGTCTGTCTTGTCCAAGGGAGTACTGCCTCTGGGGGTGAGATTTCTTATGCCGGGGGCATGGTTAATATGTCCCTAATTTTGTTTCAGAAAATGTCACCATACTAATACCGGAAACCTACCAACTGTTACACTTCATTTACATGCCTCCAGCTTCCATCCAAGACACATTTCCCAATCAATTGTTTACAGCCAGGTCCTAAGATACAACCGGATTTGCTCCAATCTCACAAACAGAGACAAACACCTATACGGTTTATATTAACCAATCTTAAAATTAAAATGCCCACCTAGAGAAGAGAAGAAACAGATTGACAGAGCCAGACAAGTACCCAGACATCAGCTACTTCAAGATAGGCCCTACAAAGAAAACAACAGAACATCACTTGTCATCACCTATAGCCCCCAACTTAAACCCCTCTAACACATTATCAAAATCTACAACTTCTCCTGGAAAATGACCCCTCACTCTCACAACCATTGGGGGACAGGCCAATCCTCACCTACAGACAACACTCTGACCTCAAACAAATTATTTCCAATAACCACACAGCACACCTCCATCACACTCACCCAGGAACCCACTCCTGCAATCAACCCTGAGGTCAACTCTGTCCACACGTCTTTACAGGCGATATCATCACAGGTCCTAACCATGTAAACCACCACATCAGAGGCTTGTGTAACTGCATGTCCACCAAGGAGATCTATGCCATCAAGTGCCAGCAATGCCCCTCTGTTGTGTATATTGGCCAAACTGGACAGTCTCTACAGGAAAGAATTAATGGACACAAATCAGACATCCAAAAAGGCAACACACAACTTGTTGGGGAACATTTTAACTTGCCTGGGCACTCATTAATGGATCTCAAAGTCACTGTATTATTTCAAAACAATTTCTAAAGCCAGCTTGACAGGGAATCCACAGAACTTAATTTCATTTACAAGTTTGAGTCCTACAACAGAAGTCTAAACAAAGACATTGGTTGAATGGCTGCTACATCCCACATCCTATAAAATTTCCACTACATGCATCTGACGAAGTGGGTCTTTGCCCAGGAAAGCTTATGCTCCTATACTTCAGTTAGTCTATAAGGTGCCACAGGACTCCTTGTCGCTATCCCACATCCTAATGACTTAAAAAAACAAACAAAGGGTACTTAAAGTGGGTACTAGTATTCTTATCAGTTTCAAATCTGCACTTGAAAGAGAATCCTATGAACTGGCATTCATGCTAAAATTCGACACTCTCCACGGGGGGCATGAACAAAGACTCCAGCTATCTTACCCATTACAAAGATAGCTTCCCTAATTATCACCTCTAACACTATTAACTCACAGACATCTACCTTTCCCCACCTCTAATATCATTAACTCACCTTCCTTCCACCCCCCCCAC